GCCTTTGTCCTGCAGTGGACGTAGTCAGGCTGATGATATATATATATATATATATATATATATATATATATATATATCTATATATATATATATATATATATATATATATTTATATATATATATATATATATATATATATATATATATATATATTTACCGTGAGTGACGGTGACGGCGATGACGATGCTGGCGGAAATTCAGCCGAGATTCTTATAACTGCTATCGCAATAATTTTGTATATTTGAAGCTAGCGAAACACTCGGAGTGCATCATGAGCCGGGTATGTTGACATGTTCTTACTCGAGACGCATGTCGTCATTATCATGCTTGCACCAGTAATGTACATTCTTCATTCGTTGACGTCATGGAACACTAAATTTAGTATCGGTGAAGCTAGTGAAACAACTGCGAGCACAGTATGAGCGTAGCTTGTAGTCATGTTTTACTTAACAGGGATGTCATGATTATCATGTTTGGAAGTCTCATTTTCGTTCGTCGTCCAATCACGTCCTGTCACAACAAATTTGGTATATGAGAAGCTAACGAAACGGCCTCGAGCACATTCTAAGCATGGTATGTAGTCATGTTCTTACTTAATACGCATCTCATGATTATCATGTTTGCACCCGTCATGTACCTTCGTGATCCATTCACGTCCCCTCATACCAAATTTGGTATGTGTGAAGCTAGCAATACGATCGCGAGCGCACCTTGAGCGTGGCGTGAAATCACGACCTACATGACAGGCATATCATGATTCACACGTTAGGATGTGTCACCCATCTTCGCTTTGCTGTCATGTCATACCATACCAATTTTGCAATCTGTCTTGCGAACTAAACCTCCGCAAGAGCAGCAAGACCATGAAAGTACCTAGGCGTCGTGTTTTCTGCTGACTGCTCATGGAATGAGCCCATTCTGTGAGACAGCTGGTAAGCCTGGATGGGTTCTGAACTTCGTTCAACGAAACCTATGATGTCGCGAAGTTGAATTAAAATGCAGTGCATTTACTACATGTGTTAGACCTATATTAGAGTACGCCTACAAACTATGGGATCCATCGGAAGCCAGCTCATTTCTGAAATAGAAGGTATCCAAAACAGAGCAGCCAGGTACGTACTGTGCAGGTACCGCAGAATGGAGAGTGTCACAATGATGAAAAAAGAATCAATTGAGGATTGTTGTCTTCCCGAAGACAGAAGTTAAGGCTAAAACCGTTTTTTTTTTCAAATATATAACAAGGTAGGTGTAAACAAAGATCCGTGAATACCGGCTCAGGACATGCATGTTTGCGAATTCCCTTTTTCAGAAGTATATGTAGCCGAATGGAACAAGCTCGCTGAAAAAGTCTATTGTGTGAATGAAGATCTATTTGTATCTCCGTTGTAACCCCCCCCCTGCTATAACGCCCAAGGGCGATGCGGAGTAATTCTTGAATAGAGAATAAAAAATGTCAATCATGTCATTCATGACATACAAACGATAATTTTCATGTTATTACAAGTCACTTATGCTCGCATACAGTCATGTTCTGCCTCACCAATTTTCGTATCGATATCATTATCGAAACGGCCAGGAGAGCTAAAAGTTGTAGGTGGCTGGATAGATTAATTGATTTGCTCAAAGTCACCAAAGTCCACTAAGAAATTTTTTGCATTCAGAAATGAAAGTTCAGTGCAGAAATATGTGTATAATTACGTTACGACAAATTCCATAGGCATGAAGCTGCGCACGTCGCAAGTTAACACCACGACTGACAAGCCTTGTGACATTGTATAAAGACCGCCAACAAAAAAAAAATTTGCCGTATATAAAAATTGTGTGAATTTTACTGCACACTCAATAATTGACAAACAACATAAAATTGGCAGTATTTTGAAAATTTTCAACCAACATCACTTGAATTTTCATTACCGGCATGGCACTTGGCATCACGCATGTGGAACGGTCATTTTGTATTTGGCAGTGCGAGCACGTGGCGATTTGTGGCCCGGCAATCAGATAGACTTGCGCGTGAAAAGGGCACGGCATCATTAACACACCTTTGGTGACACTAGCATTTAACACAAAAGTTTATTATGCCGTGGTGCACGAAAGTTTCTCTGATGTATTTTCCTCACGTAAATGACATCGAAAACATAAGCATGATCAGAAGACAAAGAAAAATTGTTGTCACTGAGATTCAAACCCATGACCCCTGGGTCTGTGACAACACAAGCCTGGCACAATCTCCACTGCACCACGGCCAGTATTTTTTATGCAATAGCAATACAGTCTATACATATATATATATATATATATATATATATATATATATATATATATATATATATATATATATATATATATATATATATATATATATATATATAGCAACACATCACCCACTAGCGTGGGTAAAGCTGGTTGTATTTACTTATTCACCTTTACCACTTTCATGTGTTAAAATAATTAGTAGTTCATCGATTGCCCCGCAGTGTTCCAGCACTTCTCTGAGGTTCGTCAATAGTTCAACAAATCGGGCTTTAACCGATCGCGCTTGGGGCTCAGCATTTCTTACATCCATACGTGACCTCTATATGCTATGAAAACCTAGAAGCAGGAACAGGTCACACGGTACACTAATTTTTTCGAACAGGCAGAAAACGAATACCGTAGGCGTCGATTGGTACCTGAATCTTCAAGGTTCTACACAGGACAACCCAATAAAACACAGCCTTCTAACAGTCAATATGCTTTTGTTGACTGTGCCACAGCCTTAATAATTGTGTGCGTTCAAAAATACGCCTGTTTTATCTACCACTGTGCTCTCACAGCGTCCATGGTGAAGTGCAGTAATGAATCATGACTAAGGCATTCTGGATGGGTTCTGTCAACGCGTAGTTTCTAAGCATCCGCTCCCATTCAGCGCACTTCCACGGAAGTATTGCAGTTTTGCCATGTTTAACACACCTCCCAGCGATGACCTTACCTCAAGAGACAGCGTCGCTCATAGCGTATATCCATACCAAATGGCTCTGTGACTCCCACCTGGTTCGCCGGGCTTAGACACCGCTATAACTCCGCGCTCCCCACAACGCTGCAACCGTGAGTAATAGCGGTGGGCCAAAGGGGAAAGATTACGCACGTTGCATTTCCCTCTGATCAGGCAGAGCGGTTCAATAACTCCATCAGGCCGCGAGTAGGCGACATTAGCCCACGTTCGGCGTCCAAACGGTCAGCCTCTTCTGGCTGTCACTTCGCTTTCTCTGGCTTAACTCTCAACGTTATCTACTACAGCTGCCACAAGCATCCATGCAACAAGGGTCTGCCAATCGTTAGTGATGAACGTTAGTCGTATGGATGTAGATGTGTGACTAAGCGTCAATGTAGATGCATTCACGTTAAGTGGTTCTATAGCTGTCGAACGTCAATAGACACTGAGGTAGCTTTCCAATATCAATGTTGAGTAAATGTTTAACTACTTTTGTAGGGGTATGTATTACTTTCGTACATTATACCGATTCCTCTAACGCGGAGATCAAGCTTCTTTTTAATAGAAAAAATGCTCGAGTAATATTGACAAGTTTCAGCGTCCTACTTGTAGAACACTAGGCATATGTGCGCTGCTTAGGCGCGCCTAATCGCCATCGAGCTGTTGCTCTTGCATCTAGGAAATGACTATAGCTGAGGAGACGCTCTGGCTGTGGCTCTGGCTGGCTTTTACGAATGCTTATTCATTTCGAATCAAAACGGCCGGTAGACCCACATGTGTCAACGGTAGGTGCGAGGTGTTGTCTACCATCTTCTTTGTTAGTGTACTAGCTTCAGTACGCCAAGAAGACAATTTATAAAAGCGACAGAGACTTGGCTACCTCCAATTCTTGGAGGAGACAAATGTCTCAGAACACCTGCTGAGACCGTCTTCGGCGCGCAAGACATTGAGAACATTTTTGTGCTTGTTGTGGGCAACTGGTCTCAGAGAGACTATAAGCTGTCTTGTCTATCGTAACACTATTCGCCTTTTTGTTTTCGCCTTCTTTTTGTAACGTTGCGTTTCTGTTCCCATTTATTCCCCTCGCCTCCTTCACCAGCACAGGTAGCCAGACGGCCTGAGAACTAGCCAACCTCCTTTCTCTTTTTTTCTTTCTGCTCTTCCTCCTCTTCCTTCTCGTTGCTTTTGCATTTCTACTTATCTAAATCTAGCCACCGTGGCGATAGATTGAGCCTGCACCCTCGAGTTTTGTGATCAACTGCGTGCACAGACACGATTGAAATAGAAAATATCGCTTTATTAGCAAAAGAATATAAGCATATCACACGACTTACGCCTAAACACTTGTTCACTGAAGCAACGTATTAGGACTACTTATGTTGATATGCTGGATAAGCACACCCACTTACTAAGACCTGTCTAACAGGGTAGCCCACTGATTTGAGAACCGGCTAACCTCCCTGTCTTTCATTTCCTCTTTTTCATCTTCCCGTGAACGGCGATTTGCTTCTCTTGACTATAAAAGCATAAAAAAGGAGATCGTACAAGTACTCAGATTTCTCTGCGCATTCTTTCTGAACTTTACATTTTTGCGTTACCGCCTCTTCTTTGTGACCATGTTGAATCATTCAAACTTCCGTATATATACTGACCTTAAACCGGTGTGAGAATTCATAATTGTTTAGCTATGTTTAAAACTAGGTGAGATGATACATTCCTAACAGCAAGTTTGAGCGAAAAAATGACAAAATCACGATAGAGCGAGATAAGTTTCATCATAAAAAAGGTGAGAGGACGGTTTGAAAAATCTGACCTGACACTCAGCTTTAGGCGAATTCCGAAGATGTCTGTTGTAAGACAGTAATTCTCAATAAGTCCCATGTTACGGGAAACAAGTCTTGTCTCCTGTTTTTGTGAATTTCTTGTCCTTCGAGCTCCAAACTTTTGTTGAGATTTGTCGGCAATAAATGTTTAATGTATTCAAATACGTGAACAATTAGATTGATGGCAATGCTCCTAAACTCACCCAGCTACCACGGCGAAGATGCACGGAAAGTTGTTTGATTTACCGCAGGAAGCGATCTCAGTAAAATGCTTCTCCAGGAGTATCTAGACGAGCACGAAAAGAAAAATTTGATTCATTTAAGCAACATTACGAAACCAATTTTCACGAACAAGTGAGTGTATCCACCTAAAATTGAAAGGAAAAACTGGAGCCATATACACACATGTATTTGCTTCATTGAATCAGCTTAGACTGAATATATGCTACCTGGAGAGGTACCAGTTCCGCTCATACTGGTATTTGATCTTCATTTCCACAAAGTCGTTGGTAGAGTTTTCTTAGTTGCTTGTCGCGTATTTTGGGCTTATTTTCAGTTCTCCTTCTAAATATAGTATTTTGGTATTGTCAACTTCGCAAATAGCACATAAGTTCAAAATAATGAGTCATATTCGTGATAAGAATTCAATAAATCGAATGAGGAATACGTTGCAGAGAAGTAAATATGTGCATTCGTTCATAATTTGTGCTTATTATCACAGTGCATAACAGTTGCAGTAACTTTTGAAACAACTCCTAGAATATGAGTGCCACTATTTAAAGTAATTTAGAGAATAAGAAAGATTTATAGGGTTTCTCTTTTAGCGCATTACAAGGGCCACACAGCTCTTTTTTTTCTGGGAGAGGGTGGGGGTATTATTATTCGCTCATTAGCTCTATAGTATCCGGCAAATCTGCTACACGGCGATGTCTACAATCTTTTCTAACGACAAAGGCAAGAAAATGATATGCAAGATTATTAGTTGACATGGACTATTAGTTGACATGGACTGCTCGTGGACTAGTAGCATAAAATTTGCTGACAGAAAGAGGAGTGATCTGCGCAGTGCTCTCCAGAAATGTAGGGCATGGTCAGCATGAATATAAGCAGATAATGTTCAGAGTGCAACAAATTGAATCCACATTTTGACGGCTTATTGGGAGCTGACAGCATCATATAAAGAAGAAGACTACACCGTGCGCCAACTTCAACAATTTCATTTCCAGAAGCTATCTTGCGGCGTCTTTGAAGCACCCGAAACGTTGTAGAAAATGGAAGAAATAACTCTCATGAAAGCACCAAGCTTCACAGGCTACAAAACGCCACACAAGCGAAATATTTTGTTGGACGTTGAAGGACCCCAGGTGACTTGAAATTTCAGGAGCCCTTCATTGTGGCGTCTCTCCAAATAAATGAAGGCTTTAGGGCGTTAACCCTACATTTATTATTATTATTATTATTATTATTATTATTATTATTATTATTATTATTATTATTATTATTATTATTATTATTATTATCTATGAACAGTGACGCCACCAGGCCGCCGACTAGCCGAGCTGAATATCCCTATCCCGATCTAAAAGGTCAATTGATGGTGCACTCACACACATGTCACTGTTGCGAGAGAAGCTTGGGCTTCAATCATTTCTTTGACGCCTTTATGTTTCCTCAGAACCATGCCAAATTTATACATAGGGGCACAACCACATACTAAGCATTTTAAAAACAAACGGCCGTAATAATAAGACTGGTAGTGTATATATATATATATATATATATATATATATATATATATATATATATATATATATATATATATATATATATATATATATATATGTGTGTGTGTGTGTGTAGGTCAGACGGGAAGATGTCGTAACAATATTCTTCACGAACACAAGCTAAATGTTATAAACAAGACTAATTATGGGCATTTGCCTGTAACATTGCTTCGAATGCAGTTGCGCACCAATCTATAAATCTTGCATGGGACTGCAGAAACATAAAGGCAAAAATTTCCGAAAGATAATTGAATCCCAAGATATCTCTCACAATGACACGTGTTTGAGTTGAGTGCACCAACAATTGTCCTTTTCGACAGTGAAACAGCCACCCGAGTTTGTGGACTGGTGGCACCACTGTGTAGGGATGTTGGTGTTGTCTGCGAATAAAATTGTTGAAGTTTGCGCAGTGTGTTGTCGTTTCATTTACGTCCCTGTCTGCTAGCGCTGAATATGTCTTCAAGTTGCGTTAACAACACGCCTAAATATCGCAATCCTAATTCATGAATTGCTCTCAGTGGGGGTTCACGTGGTTACTTTTTCAAATCAATGCTTCTGCTGTCATCTAGCAATAGGTAGCAAAAAAAGATTACACATCCATAAAAGTTCCGTGTATGCTGTTAGTGCTACTGATGTGTTCTGAGTTACCAGAAGACGATGCAATTTTATTCTAGCTATTTGGTCAGTCACGCAAGAAAGCAAAAAGAATTAGGCTTGTAGGACGCTTAATCCTTGCCCTCAAGATTATAACGCCAGAGCTTAATCTCATGACCCTGGTTTCATAGCTTTCTCAACCACTAGCCTAGCTTTGCTACTTAGCAGACACCAGAGATGCACCGCAAGTAAAGAAAAAAATGTGCGCCTTTACATTAGGCATTTTCAAATTATCCTAGAATGCTTACTGCAAATACTTTTTTGAAGTAGCCACTGTGCTACATTTCTTCCTTCTGCGAACAGACAAAGAACCAGTATGCATCCGTACGGGTCAGGACACGGATCTCAAGCACTCTGCCCCTATCTAAATGTGACCATGTCAACCGGAGCCACATCTTTGGGTCACGCACCAAGACTAGCTTTACATGCAGTCGTAATTCTTGAAAAGGAGGCCAATAGGTTATCTTGTCTCCGCGAAAAACGCTGTGTACTTACTGCAAGAAGCCTGTCGCAATTGTCTTCAATATCCTTGTTGGTTGATTCATATGTAATGTTCAACGTCCCGAAACCAACGTACGATCATGAGAGATGATGTGGTGGTAGGATCCAGAAATTTCTACCACATGGGGTTCTTTAACGTGCACCCAATTCTGGGCACACGGGCCTACAGTATTTTCGTCTTCCTTGAAAATGCAGCCACCGCAGCTGGGAATTCATCTCGCGACTTGGGGATCAGCAGCCGAGTATCTTAGCCACTAAACTGCCACAGCGGGGCCCTTCAAACTTCTTGTTAAAAGATATATCGCATTTTAAACATATACAGAGCTGGTATAGTCGGTAATTATTGATGTTAAAAGAAACGGGTCGAGCAAACACGAACACAACATGGTGGTTAAGACACCACAAACATTACTAACAACTTAAGATGCGCACAACGGCGGAAAAGGGAGAAGAGGCAAGAAGTAATCTGCGCATGCCCATGCAATATGTGAATTTATCTGGCACACCTGTGGCAGTCTACGTGAAATATAACTGCTGAGCCATTTGATTTCACTTTTATACAAATCATTTGACGGTTGGTTGGTGCACACAAGGGCAAACCGTCGATTTCTTCTCCTTACCTCTTTGGTGAACCGGCTGACGACCTTGAAGTAGCAGTCACTCAGGTCGAGCCATACCGGTAATCTGTGTTTCTGTTCAGAGTGAACCCCAATCGCCCCCCAAAAATAAAATAAAATAATTAAAGGGTGGAGTGGTGACTGTCAATTATATCAGTGTATTCGAAAGCCACGAAAGCTTTCCAAGTTACGTAATTTTTTGTATATTCTAGGCAAATTTTTTTTTGTTACAATTTGCCTTGGGCGACAAGACTGAAGGCTCAGTTCTCACCTCACTAGCTTGTGCCAACCTAGCCGCAAAGTAGAACGCACCAGCACGCGTTATCTGTACAGAATAAACTACAGTATACATATTCTTTACATCTGTGCCATGGTTACACTAAATCTTGAGTAGAGTACAGAAGAATTTAAACACAGCTCTAGTTAGAACAGTGGCAATACCATATAGGAACGCTCAGAATCAACTTCTGGCAAAAAACATTAATATAAAAAAGCTTCTCGCCTATATTTCGCGTAGAGTTAACAAAAATATAAACACAGCAATAATTGGAGTTGTTCGATTACTAACGAACGAGTGCTCACAGAAGAGTTAATTAAATACAGGAACATAACTCCTGTTTGCTTGTGATTGTTCTGGGTACTAGTGCCGAAACTGTGTCGAGAAAGAGTGTTGCTAGCACCGATGTTAGAGCCGCTAACAATCTACTTATTCTCAACCACAGCGCAGAGCGGTAAAAATGGAGACAAAACTCTTTGGCAAGGATTGGTTTGGACCAGCAGAATGTCCTGTTCTTCACCGGGACCAAAAACTTTCCCCTGATCTGCTTCCATTGCTCTGCAGGAGTTGCCAGTAGGGTGTTTTTTTTTTTTTTGCGCAACAGCATATTTTTTTGGTTTTGAGGCGCTAGTTCCTACCAATGAGGACATCATTCGGTTTAAGAACGTAACGCGATGCAAACGAAATCACGCTCGCCGACGGCCCCTGTCCAGGCCATCAACGAGGTCCACAAGTTCGGAAAAAGGGGAATCCTCTGCTCTTCTTCTGACCAGTCCTTCGTGCAAGATCTTCTGAAGTGCTTGTTGTTCGCATCTAATCCGGTTAGCGCGTTCATTCCACCACAGTTAGCATGCTCCAGAGTACTAGTTCATCGCGTCGACGTCAACGGGACACCAACAGAAATTCTAGAACTGTTTTTGCCAGCAGTTTTTTTACAGTTTATCGGTGACCATGTATTGTTGATAAGAAGAAAGCACCTACCGAGTCCGTCATAGTAAAATTCGAGAGACCAGTCTCGTCATCAGGAATTAAGGCATGACCAATCATTTACCGAGTCGAACTTCTCTCCCCTCACCCTCTTCAACGCATAAAGTGCTGGCGTTGTGGATACAGCACAAAAGGTTTCAGGTATCTTGTCAAGAGCGGAGTGTGTGGAGAAGGGCACAATTCGAACGAGTGTCAAAGTAACAATGAAAAATGTTGCTGATGTCAGGGAGCCTATATTGCAGACTTTTCAAGCTGTCCTACAAAGGCTCTTGAAGTACAAATTCCAGAAACACCGAAACGTTAAAGGTGCTCTCGTAGGGAAGCAGTAGCTGAAATTAAAGCACAAAACCCCGATTGAGCTAGCGTTACAGCCCGCCATATACCAGCAATAGAAGGGTCGCTCTCTGTTTCAATTCAGAAGCAATTGACAAGGCAATAGAATAGGCGATTGAACGCCTAGCTATATAGGAGCCTTTGTGAGACATTGGCCCATATACTCACGAACAAGATAACCCATTTATTGGGCACAGCTGAAACTCTCAGCCCACTCATTCGCAACAGCGACCGTAAAAGACTTTAAAAGGAGGTTATCTCAGATACCGCGTCACAGTGTGCAGAAATTGCGAATGCATCTGCTGAACTCACTCTGGGTCAAAGCAAAGCTACCAAGTAGGGTAAGACATGTCGAACTCAGATGAAGTGGAGACGGATCCTCGATCCCTAAAGTGCTGAAGATCCCCTTTTAGCAAAAAGGTGCTACACTTGCCCACTTAAAACCCAAGAAGTACCGAAAGGACAGCGCATTTAAAGCCGATTATCTTAAAGATGGTATTTTAGGTAAGACAGCCACCGAAACGATTTTAGCGAAACCATAGGGTCACTTTATTTTCTTCACCAAAATTACCGATCAAATCATTAGCAGTAACCAATTTATCAATCTTAGCATCAAAATTCAATGCAGATATAATTGCATTACAATAAATTTGGCTTTGAACGCATGTGACCTTTCATTTCAAATACATAAATCGTAAGTGACTTTTTGTCTGGACAATCCAACTAAAGGTGTAGGTATGGCTTATTTTAATAATAATAAAAGAAGTTTAAAGGCTAAAGTTGCGTATGAGCGTAAGTTTCACCTTATAAATTGCGCTGTCTGGTTGCCTGTACGCGATGTTTGTACGTTGCACTGGCATCTTTCATAAACATAATTGTGCTGAGATATTTCAATTCTTACCGTATCTGTTGGGGTTTTCGAACCGACCGTTGGGATAAACGATAGCGCCAGCAGACAGCAAATAACGACTTGTCATGCCCGAACTCTCGAACACCCACTTTTATAAGTGGCATGCCTCGTTCAGCAATGAATTTAAGTTTCATTAGTTCTTCCCTCACTAGTTTGTCATGCACTACCTTGGAGTGTGCCACCAACAGCGATTACCTGTCTGCAATGTTTGATATTGTTTGTCCTACAACAGCATCATGCAATCAAAATCGAGTGTATATAAATTACAATATATTTAAACTAACTATAGAATCTGCTTTTACCATTCACTCTGAAAAGACAGAAGACACGAAAGCTATGAGAATATGTGCGTTGCTCAAAAGAAAACATAAAAGCTGAATTCATTGTTAACTCTGCAAAGAGCACAAATCACGGTCCGTGGTGGAATTGAGATTGTGCTCGGGATGACTGATGATGATTGGTCGCGTGAAAAAATAAAACTTCTGCAAAATTAGTGTCCCCGAAATTGGTCTGATTACAAGTTTTCTGCTGAAAATTATAAGTGCACAGTTTCTTTAGCTAAAGATGAATATCAGAGAAAAGATTCTCCTATCTTTCAAACCCTAAGAACAAAGGGGCCCTGTTTAGGTTCCACAGATGGCGTAAAATTCTGCCGTCGTCAACTAATGTCGAGTGTAAAATCATGTCACTCGATGAATTAAAAAAATCTTTGAAAACCACATCAAAAGGCCTAAATTGTCTATTTACTTAGAGTAAGCTATAATATTTGAGACGTCAAATGGTAATAACAAATTTTACTAAAGTACCAATGAAAGAATTAGCTCAGGTTGTTTGGAATTTACCCTCATCAGCTGCCGTTCGAGACGGAATTACAGCTGCCTTGATAAAACGTATAATTAAATTATCACCAGCTGACCTCCTGAACACTGTAAATTATTCGTTACGACATGCCTGAATTCCATACGATTGGAAAATAACAAAAATAAGCCTTGTGCAGAAAACATAAGTGTTAGGCTACAGCACAGAAAACCGACCAATTTCTCCTACTTTCAATATGGTAACGCTTAATGAGAGGATGCTTCATAAGAGAATGACAAGCTGCATAGCAGAAAATGACTTATTAAACCCTAATCAAATTGGCTTCGGAGAAGACTGCTCCATATGGTGGGCTCACGATGATTGAGAAAGCCCCGTCCCGATTTCTCGCAAAACAAGGCAACATGCTGCTCTAGTAACTTTGCACATAGCCAAAGCATAGGACAGTGTGAAATTTCCAGTTTTATAGGAGATCCTACTAAGCCACAATTTCCCAAAGTACATTGTTGCGTTGTTCAAAGACTTTTTGAAGGACAACAGCATTTTATTGCTTCAACGATGGCTGCGCTTCATCAAAGTTTAAACAAACTCGCGAAGTTTCCCAAATGACTATATTGCCTTCAACACTATTCAACATCCTAATTAGTTAAATACCCCACTGCCAGTGTGTGCAAGTATACATGTATGCTGATAACATTGCTTTCTTTGCAGCTGACATTGAGTTTGATTTCTTACATCAAAAACTGCACAGGTATATGAATTTGCTAGAGGGGTGGCTAGAGACAATATACATGTCCCTGAATGTAAAGAAAAGTGCCATGTTTATGTTTCGAATAATAGATCCTATCTCAGTTACAATTTGCTTTAGAGAAAAGCCTACTTCACAAGATGAGTCGCTTAGGTATTTAGGATTTTTTATAATGATGAATCAGATTGGACTCCTTGTATAGAGAGTACAATATGTAAAGTACCACGTGCCTTAGGCATGATTTATAGATTGACCAGAAGACGCTATGATTTAGGTAGGGACACTATGGTGATGATTCAGAAAATGTACATGCGTCCCATACTAGAATTTAGGTGTTTGTTATTCTCAGGTGACCGTTCTTATAAACTGAAGCCTTTGATTGTCTGGGGGCGTGACGCCCTGCAACCATGTCCAGAGCTCAAAGTTTGTTGCGAACAATGTTTTGTATCAGGTGGCGGGCTTACCAACATTGCCTTGTCGATTTTGCATCTCAACGGTTCAGACACATCTCAATTTTTATAGATAATTGTTAAGACGATAAAAATCTGTATTAATCAAAAACCCACTCTTTTTTTCTTGATCATTGGCCACGTTTTCATGCACCCCAAATTCATTTTGTTCAGAAGCAACTCGACAGAATAAACGTGAAATTTCGAGATACACCAGCAGCAAACGTGCCAAATAAAATTTTATCTTAAAATACGTTACATTTTTTCCTATAAGCCTAAACTTCAATCAAACAGCGTTTCAAATCGCCGCTTACGAGATTATCTTGCACACGTGGAAAGAAAAATGGAATTGTCACTGATACTTCAGTATTCAATGATCGTTCCAAGAGCTTTGGTCTGAATAGATCTGACGAACGTTTTTTGTCTTTAAGTGTCTTGGTTGGTGTCTTAGATTGCGTTGTAGTGCGTGCTGTTGTTTGTGCGCGTTGTTTTTAGTATATCTCGCTGCGTTGTGTCTCCGTCATTTTGAGTACTTTGTGATTAAGACGTATTGTATTGGATTATTGCCTAATGTCCATATTTCTGTGTTGTTTGTTCTTTCGTATTGGATAAGATATTTTTGTTTTGTTATGAACTCTCGGCTCTGACTCGTTTTTTGGACCACAGCCGGCGGGCGCTAGCGCGACACTCCGGACCAAACCTAAATTATCTGTGCTTTCGTGGTGCCGTTCGGGGAGCTGATACGTCGGCTCTTTGGGTTATACCGGCAATCGCCTCCCTAATTAACAGGAGCAGTGACAATTTGTTGATATAGTAATATTAGGCATATTCAAGACATCAATTTTAAACACGTTCGAACATACGGCCATTTTAATTCAAGATATATACCATTTTGCCTGGTCAGATTGAAAAAATTATCCCATTCTTTCCGTTTTTACTTTTGCTTTATCTTCCTTCTCTTAAGATTATGTATCACTTGAAAGACTCAAATTTTATGTCCCTAATTCTTACCTAGTCTCCTTGACTGGGCGCGAGTCAAATTGGAGGCAACATCATCACCACCAGCACCACAGTTGTCTTATTTGTATTGGCACTTACGGCGCTGTTTCCCGATTGAAAATGTTCAACCAACCAGCCAACAAGAACGTTGCTACGTCTTCTTCCGCTGAAGTCGGTGCGCGAAAGGTGAGTTCTGCATTTTTGAATTGCATCTGAAGTTGCACTTAAACACCCGCTTTGACCAATAGCAGTGTTGACTCCTAACCCTCACGAGGGATTACTAGTCAACTGAGGGCTCGTAAGAATATGCCGAAACGCCGACAGCTAAAAAAATAGTGGTCCTCGTGCCCTTGCCGTCATGATTACTGGCGGCGCTGAATGATGCAGCCATGTTTATATACCTCATAAAGTGGACGGAAGGGGTAGCCGCATGGTAGCTCCGTTGGCAGAGCATCGGACGTGTGATTTCATGATATTAGCTTCGGTACCGGCCTGTTGGAAGTTTTCATCTTAGTCCACTGTTCGCTCTTCACATTTACGATTGGTGTGCTACTAATAGCATCCCCTATACTTTCCTGGGCATTATAAATCTTATTATTATTGTGTCTAACAAAAAAAGAGCCCCTTATAACTTCCACTTATTTTCTTGATATGACTGGTGTACACCTTATGATGTAACTTCTGACTAACTTTAGTCGGTAGAGCAATGACAGCACAGTTTTGATGACTTCCATTTCACTATCTCTTGACACAAGCACTAGTGAAACGTAGAAAAATCAAAAGAACAGGGACGACGCATTTTTGTCTGACGACAGTCGTCTGACGAACTGTCGGACGACAGTTGTCTGGCAAACGGAGGGTGCCGAAACTGCGGTGACATTGCTCTACGACTAAGGTAACCCAACATTTCGCATCACTTGGAACTATCGTGTTAACAGGCAAAAGACGAAATGTCCAGTGTGACTCCGTACTCTTTCGTTCTCCGCCACTTCTCTCGCACGATGATTGGTCTCCTTTGCAGTTGCCCGCCGAGATATGCGGACGTTGCATTTCGCGGATACATTTCGTGTTCGCTCGCGTCATTTTTTACGTCAGATTCACGTAGCGGACGTTGCATGTGCTTTACAGCACGCAACGTAGAAGCACACCTATATCTGCAACAAGCGGAACGCGACAACTTACGCAAGATGTAGTGGAAGCACCGATTCGGCTGAAAGAACTTAGTTCCAAAACTGCTCGTCTCACTGGTGTAGACCTTGTTACATGTATACATTGGTCAGATGGGCGATGATTGCGGCGATGATACCGATGGGCGATGTGCGGAATGGCTGCCCTCTGTGATTAAGACGATGCTATACACAGAAGCTAACGGTTTTACGCTTACGGCACTTTTCAGCGAATTTTCCTCTTGGCGAAACACTAGAATGAGTCACTCAGTACAGCATATTACCGGGTAAAATTATTGACGAATGCATTATCATATAATTGTTGACCTAAATATGCACAAACCATGCATAAGTGGCATAGCAAAAGTGGCACAGCCTAAACACACGATTACCAGAGCACAGCCGTCTCGTCTGTGGCCAAAGATTATGGACATATGACCTTTCATTGTGGGATTATGGCTGTGCTCGCATTCTAACTAGTGCAGAGCTTATGCGTGCAGAATGCAACAAGAAAACGAGAAATTTAATAGAAGTAATTGAAATCGTCACGTTAAAAGATAAATGTGCAAGTTGCTCCTCTGTACTATTCAGCAAAGAAGCACACTGATACCTTTGTACATAACCACACACTGTACCAGAACCACATGTTTTTAATGCTTTAATTTGACTTTTTTGTTTTCAATTTGTAGTCTTCATTGCTGTCACTACTGTTAGTGCGCATGTACGGGTTTTATACCGAAATTGGCTCATTCGAAAATAAATTATCAATTGTAGTAGAACGTAAGTGTTTCGAAAACAAAACGTGCATCATAATGTATGTTTTTATGCAAAGAAAAACTAGAGAACTTCAAGCTCACCACGTGTGTGTCGGACTCCTTGAAGGTGACGTCCCGGATGGCCTTTTCGATCTCCAAAACATGACCAGCCTGTCCAGAACAAGTGTACAGCCAAAAAGTAAATATTGAAAAGGCAAGGCTGAGCTCCGTAAGTAAGAGGAAATGGCTGCGGGAGCAGTTGTGAATAAGCGATGTCTGTCTGTCCCTCTGACTTTCACACATGTGTTCAGGAGTAAGTGAGGTCATGCTTGTGGTAGTGCTGCATCAATATTGTAGCCTTACAATGTCAACCACGACAGTTTCTTTAGCATCACGTTGCCAACAGAACTGGACGCACTTTCGCCTTCTCTGCTGGCGAAACAAATAAATACAATAGTGCGGAATGGCTGCCCTCTGTGATTAAGACGATACTATACACAGAAGCTAACGCATTTACGCTTACGGCACTTTTCAGCGAATTTTCCTCTTGGCGAAACACTAGAATGAGTCACTCAGTACAGCATATTACCGGGTAAAATTATTGACGAATGCATTATCATATAATTGTTGACCTAAATATGCACAAACCATGCATAAGTGGCATAGCAAAAATGCAGAGGCTGTCGCTTCTACGTTGAAATTTATTGATGGCGGTACTGCGCGCAAAAACTTACAGTTGTCGTTGTTGTCGCGATTGTCCGCATAAAGTGCACGAATGATAGCACCCTACCAATCCACGGGGGACACGCTGCTGAATCGATAGTGAACACTTTATAACACAGCGCGTCGGTGAGTGCCCTTCCCAACGTAGGTGAGGGGGTGGGGAAGAGGCTGGGAGCAACTACCACAGCAGCTTTACAGCTGTTGTGTCAGTTGTCACGTGATCATTGGGGTTACAAGTTTTGAGCTCGACGGGGCCTGCGTGCCTTGACATAGCAACAAACGCCTCATATGCCGACGGCGCCTAGGTACAAACATGAAACCGGTCTAGTAGAAAATGGCGCAAACAGATATGCGTGGTGCACCTTCGATGATGATCGATATGTGGAGTTGGACGTCGCAAAACCACCATATAATTATGAGAGACGCCACAGCGTAGGGCTCCGGAAATTTAGACCACTTGGGGTTCATTAACGTGCACCCAAATCTGAGCACACGGCCCTACAACATTTCCGCCTCCATCACAAATGCAGCCGCTGCTGCCGGGATTCGATCCCGTGATCTACGGGTCAGCAGCCGAGTAACAGCCACTAGACCACCATGGCGGGGTGTGGTGCACCTTCGGAAGACATTTTGTGTACACCCGCGTATTCATGCTCCCACCGGCGTTGTGTTTTTTGCGTAGAGTGTCGCCACCATTACACACACCAAACCGTAGACGCGTCGACAGAAAAGCACTGCGCTTCAAGGTCGTGCTCAAGCCCAAACATCTAGGTATACCGGTGGTGGTTCCCACAGTAGCGCTACACGTAGCTGATGCAGCATGGAGCATCATGTGAACACATACCCGGCCATCGTAAGGAGTCATGAGCACAAAAGGGGTAAAAGCAAGTCAATACATTTGCTCCCCTCTTGTAACGTTCATCACACCGGCTTCCCAAATCCAGTGCTTGCAGTGAGTGAGTCACTATACACTCTCCCTTCAAAGCGATGACGCAAGAAGTCTGCCTGTTGAGCCATTCAAACGCGTAATTGAAACAAATTCCACACCACCTGCCTTGTAGGGGCATGATATTGCCGCTTGTTTCGTATCACCATGGACAGGTTGTTTCGCTCGGCACTAGTTGACGGAAAAAACGGTTGGGGTTTTTACAGACAGCTTCCACTTCATCATGCTGCAAGCAGCCGCTGAAGCATGCAGGCTACGTGCATGCGAGTTCTTTTCAATAAAATTTGACAATGTACTTTGTAGCAGTCTTTAACAAGTTACTGGTAACGCTTCACAAGTAACTAGTTAACTCTATCAGTAACTTGTAATTACAACTTGTTCCTATAACTAGTGAGGAACTTGTAACTGTAACACTGTTGCTTTTTGCTGAGTAACTGTTAAGTAAAATACAATTAACCTTATTTCTGTTTTGTAAAAAGATATCCTACAGCCAAACCTATTAAAGGCCGTCCTTAAACGCTCTCCCCCCCTTTTTTTCCTCTTTACCATATCCTGTTGTTCGACAATATGGCTCCCCTCGCAATTTAGAATAGGCTGCCAAGAAGAATATCTTTCATGTAGAATACCGTGTTTGCAGCTTACTTCCTAAATACATGTCGTAAAGCATTGCTACTAGCAACTTGCTGAACTCATGCCACTCTCTTTAAGGAGAATAGGGGTAGCGTAGTTATTTCCCACTTCATCTTATGCCTTTCTTCTTGATGTAACGCTGGAACGTTTGTTCGTCTGAGCAAATATTTCTAGAAGGCATTGGTCTGAAGCTCCAAGATCGCTTACTTTTTACCTTCTATGCAGCCAGGTGGCATCCTCAGTATAAAATGGCCAAAAAGTGCACGTCAAATAGTGCAATATCTACCCATGTTCTTGCAGTATAGGGTCGCGGATGCTTTGCACGCTGATGCGTTGTGATGAATAAACCGCGTTTCCTCTATATTCCCCGCCCTCCCTCCCTCTCATTCAAGATCCAGAGTGGTCGCGTAATTTAAGCCGGATCTATAGAGCCTAGAACAGAAGCTATAACTTATCCAGCAGTGTTAAAGATTCATAAGAACAGGTCGCATGGTTTACTTGAGCAACGTTTTTTTTCTTGCTATTTTCCTGATCCTTTCCTTGTCTTTTCGCCGATGTAACTATGTTGCTTCGCAATCCCGTTTTGTGCTTGTAGATGTTCTCACACTAATCGTTCACAGGTGTGTGGTATTTGCGTTTCCCGAACTTTTGTACCGAAGTATGACGTGCCTTATACTCCTATCGCATGGCAAATCGAATGTCATTTAGAGCGAATGTCGTTCGTTTGTGATGCCATTTGCCTGCTTTCACGAGGGCAAACCCTTGCCATTCTATTAAAATGACATTGCCAGCGGAATCAGTTCCCGAACCTCGTACACACTGGATTCCTGACAGAATTCATAGTATGAACGTTAGTTACTTTTTTAGGAAGACAACTATTGTAATTGGTCTACCTCAGTGGAATTATGTTTACGACGACCGGATGTTGACCTCAAGGTCACGTGTTTCGTCCCGGCCGGGGGAGGGGAGGGGGATTCGTTTTGCGGTGGAAATAAAATGCTATAACGATCCGTCCACATCGCAGACCCCAAATATTATACTAATATTAGCTTCTGTAATTTAGAAATATTTTTTTCATCTTCGGAAATTTCAATTATCCGGAAAGTGTTGTTTTCCTGGCTTGCCATAAGCTTATGCGTAGTTTGAGGAGTGACGTTACAAGTAACACAACATCAGCCAAATAAAAGGAAAAGAAGAAATTAATCGTTTTACTTTACCATCACCAACTGTAGCATAAGCTTAAGAAGGTGGGTGCACGTCAAGGAATTGAAGTGGTTTTTGCTGCCAAGTATAAAGTTCACAATGTTTGTGCGGCGGTGCGTAAATGCCCAAATATTATGTTTGTAGAGTGTGCCGTTGGAGCTTTATGCAGCATACCCTTCCCGAGCGGATGCGTTTATATTGGTCGGACGCGACGCTGGGTCAACTCGAGACAGAGGAAGCACCGAAATTCCCTTCGGAGTATGGTACCTTCGACACATTTGGCCGTGCACAGCCGGGACTACGAGTGTGATTTTTCGAAAACGAGTGATCTTTCGCGCCACCGCGACCAGCTGACAAGAGAATAGTTGAACCCCACAGAATTAAAAAAGCACGGCAAAACTGCGTCAGTGAACCGTCAATTGCTCCTCTTGATAACAAAATATAATTTCTAGATCATTGCCACTAACGTTAGGGCAAGATGCCTCGTTTGTACACAGCAGTGTTTTTTTTTACAGTTTTTGTAGTTAGGTTGGTTATCTTGCCTTGCAAGAGCACGCGCGAATAATTGTAAATGTTTTTCAGTTGAAAGTCAGCGCTCGTCTTGTGTCCTTTCTTCACTCCGTCTTCATTATTGCGCTGTTTACCTCGAGCAGCTATGAATCACTACCAACTTGCGCAATTCCTACCAACTTCAATTCACTACCACAATTCACTACCAATAAGTTGCGCAATTCACTACCATTTGCGCAACTTGCGCAACTTGCCCCTTCTCTCGACGTTCGCTCTCTCAACTCTCTGCGCCCTACCCTTCCGTCCGCTCGCGCCTCACTCTAGACTCTTGCTGGCTGGGCGTCTCTCAAGAACATCCCGAAATGTGGGCTCGAGACGCCACTCTAAAACGCCATGTCGAGCTGAGAACGCTGGCGCCCCGCTCTCCCGGCAGCTCGCTCCTCACTCTCGACCTTTCCCTGGCTGGGTGCCTCTCACGGCGATGGAAAAAGTCGGTGAAGGCGACTGTCTAACGGCAATAGTACCATCTCTCGGCGACAGAAATGCATTGGCCTTTTCTCCGATTCGCTCTAAATAGGTGGCGTAGTTTTTTAAAGATGATAGATTTCTTGGGGTCCATTGAAAAAATTTTGGTCTGTCTGTCTGTCTGTCTGTCTGTCTGTCTGTCAGTCAGTCCATTTGTCTGTTTGTCCGCTTTAACGATACCTCAAACGGCAAACCCCATCCACAGCGCCCACCAATATTGCTCCATGGTAAGCGTTCAAGTTGTGCGATTGTCAATTGAGAATGAAAATATTGCGCGTATCTGAGGTGCCATAACAACATGTGTATGCTTTGCATGTCTGCCTTTATATTGCAAGAGGCACACACAAGTAACTCTAAGGACTATAGCGTTTAACGCGCTGTGCTGACAGTGCAACGCGATGCTCAAGAAGGTGTATCCAACACTTTGGTACGACGGCACGGTGGTGGCACCTGCCCGTCGCTTTGCTTTCTACACATTATCACCTCTGTGACTGGCTCGCATCTTTCTCAGCGGTCGCGCATGCCTTCGTTTTCGAAGATAACTGCCAGATGGCGCTCGTGCCTAACGTACCTAGATGCGCTTGTTCGCCTTCGTTAAATGCTCGAGGCACTCTAACGTAGCGCATTCGGAATA